ATGTGAGTTTTGTATCTACTGTAGGAGAACATAATATTTTGCAAATACGATAAACGGAACATTCAATAATATATCCGCACATACACGGACAAAATACAAGAGTCCGGAACCCACAACTCGGGGCTTAGATATATCGGTGAACGTTTGATCCAACCTACATATGAAACACGTAAGATAAGAAAGAAGAATTATGCGGTACGAATAAAAGGTCTAAGGCTCCAAAGAGTATTAATCCAGCCCAGATGAGAAGGATCTGGTAAGATGATAATTCTAAAAAATAATTGTGTTAACCAAATTAAGAGTGAGAGAGATATATACGGTTTATATTATTTCAACAATAGCGCACTGTTCTCCATCATAAACTAGGAAGGCCATCTCAATTAAACTGCGCCAACGATAAATCGACTGATCGGCAAACGACACATGAATTGAGCGGGCTAGTAGCTTTTCTGGCTTCTGCATTTAATATCGATGGCTTTTTATTTTAAAGCGATGGCAGGAACAAGATTAAAGATTCATGCAGAGTATGCAGATGGAGGCCGCCTTCTTGTATACATACGTGGCTTTAGGGCCTAATCTAGGTTTTTCAAAGTTTAGGTCTTATCTGTGGTTAGTCATTTATCGCCTACTACACCACGGTATCAGATGCCTGTTATAATGTCCAAGAATACGTTGTAGACAAGGATGTGTGAAAATAACTCTTGCTCTGCACTTGTAAGAGCCCTGGCTGCTGATGATTGTATACCTAAATAAGTTTGTATAATTGTATCACAAAAAAAGATATAACTATACCGCAGAGATTCTTGCCGGTTCTTCCCTGTTTAGTTCAATGAACCGGTGGTAGTTTTTTTTGACGTTCGATAAGAGCTTAAATTAATCCTATATGAATAAGGAAATTTTGACCATAACTTTGATGGTAACTAAGCACTATATCAAAAAGTACTTAAAATGAACATAGTTCATTTGTTTCTAACAGGCGTTGTATTATCAACGATTTATGTTAGTACATTAACGCGGAAATCGCCTCAATTAGCCCAAATAAGCAGCGGTTAATAATGGCTTTTATCAAGTAAACCTCAATCTCTGTTAATATTGTAGTCGTGACTGCTTCTATTTTAGGTACATTACAAGTCTTTCAGAGTTTTCTCAGGCGTTGATTGAGACGTCATACGGAAATAAATAAATTTATTTTGTGTTTCTTGTATATTTTAAAATCTTCCTGCAATGTTGCAGGAGCTGACAAAATTTGCACGTATTGATTATTTTATACAACAATCTGATAAAAATGGGCGGAATATTATTTATCACTTTTTTCTTTCTTTCTATTATTCATTATGAATTGTATTAAATTGTTCTTGCAAAAAATCTAAATTATAATTTGCACCTATTTTATCTTGACCCGAATTTTACAAAGGTTTGTTTAAATTTTCCAAACGCTTAACAAATCGAAAACAATGCAATAAAGTACAAACCTAGCGATTCCTCGGTCATTGTTAATTAGGCATACGAATAAAATAGTTACTTTAAACGTCTAAAATTGCTCTTGCACAAATGATTTGCCGTTCGATTTCGAAAGGCATATCAATCGATTCCTTGGGTTATGATCGATTGCTTAGAGGTTTTTTTTTTTTAAATAGAATAGCTTTGAATATGTAATCTATTCGCTTCGCTCATAAGAAATCTTGGTAGGTGCACGTCACAAGTTTCTCAGTACCGAAACGGAAATGTATTCTGACAATCCTTACTAATATTATAAAGGCGAAAGTTTGTATGTATGGATGAGTGTTTGTTACTCTTTCACGCAAATACTACTGAATGGATTTTAATGAAACTTTACTATAATATAGGTCATACATCAGAATAACATATAGGCTATAATTTATATACCTACATATTTTTACGTATATCTGTCTTTCTGTCTGAATGTTACGCCTTCAGCCTATTTTAACGCAGACGTAGTCGCGGGCAGGAGCTAGTTATAAATAATCTACCATGTATATACAGCGTACTGCTCCTAATCTTGAAGTTAAACCGTACTTTTAAGATTGGTTTTTTCATACCAATATCGTAGTTAAGTAATTAATTGTTTTGAGTAGTTTGTAATTTTTCTAAAAAAAGAAATAGAAATATTTGTAATGTCGATTAAAAATCTAGAAAAGTTTATCTCAATTATATCAATCCATTTAGGTTTATGACAACTAATTTTCACGTTTACGGTCAACTAGCTATAGCCAGCACCGCCTGTATGTACTATGTTTCGTTTAATCGTACTTTTTAAAGTACTAACGGAACCCTTACACGAGTCCGACATGCACTTGGCCGATTTTAACTTTATAATAGCTTACAATCATCATTTTACAGACCATAATATTATAGTTAGCTATAATATTTACAGTTATCTATATTATGGTCTGTAAATTATAGATAACTGTAATATATAAAATAAATCCAATTCAACTATAGCTATTATATAACATTTTATCGCACAAATCTTCAATGTGGTTATTTACGTTGATATAAACTTTTTTTAAATAAAACTAAACATTAAGTGAAGCTTACTACAATGCATTAGTGAAAGTTGCACCCAAATCGATAAAGCCGTTTCTGAAATTAGCGCGCACAAACGCACAGACAAACAGACAGATTTTAACAATATTTTTTTTGGGTTCTACTGCGTTGATAATGGCCATAATGATAGTTTTTCTCAAGTATCTTCCATGTACACACTACGATTAGTTACATTTTTATTATATGTATAGATAACTCAATAACGTACAGCAGAAAATATCAGAACAAGTAAGTATTTATAGCATATGATTGGTTAAAATTAAATTATACTCATAGACACGATTGTAATAAAAATAACAGCAATTTTTTAGTAAGTTTAATTCAAAATAAATACAAAAGTGATGAAACACACAACTTAATCTTTTATGTAACTTTTTAGCTAAGCTTATTTAAGTTAAAAATAAAATGTAGATTAATTTAACATTTTTGTAGTTATTTAATATCGGCGAAATGCTCAATAGTATTATAGGTATAAACACAAATTATTACGATATATAGTTTTATTTTATAGACAAGAAATTGTTATTTTTATTGTATACGGACATAAATACGACATTCATTACACTAGAGCCGTGTGATAGCTCAGTGTCCGGGCACTCGCCTTTAATTCAATATACTCGAGCAACCTGAGTTCGATCCGGGGATTAACTTTAAGAGCTGACTTACCACGTACTCCGCGGTGAAGGAAAACATCGTGAGGAAACCTGCATATTTTCGAAATAATAATAAAAAAAAATATTTCGAAGATATGTGAAGTCCGCCAATCCACAGTGGGGCAGCGTGGCGGAAAATGCCCTGATACCCTCTGTATAGAGGAGGCCTCGGCCCAGCAGTGGGACATGTATAGGCTGTAACTTTACTATACTTTTTTACACTAAAACAAGTCGATTATTTATTGCAGCGTTAAAAGTTAGGTAGGTTGTCATTATTATTTGAAAAACCTTTTTATCAAAAATAAAAAAGAATATCACAACACAAAATATAATGGACTCGAATCCATAGCAAAATTAGTTAATGAAAAAAAATAGACTTATTCGTTGTTTGAAATTAGACGGCCACATAAAGGCATTTAGAACACTGGCAGCTATGTACACTTCTAGAACAATCTTGCATAGGTACATTATTATTAAAACGTGACTTGATACGAAGCAGGATGCTTCGAGCATTTAAGATGAAGCGATAACTACGAGTAGAATATACTAAACGAAAAAGTCTTAATACAAATTATTATCATCAAGTTTTTTTTACCTTCAAAAGTTGTTTAACCCAATTACTTTGTTTGTATAAGATTTAACTTTTTAAAGCAAACGTGATAATTTTATTAATGTAGTAGTTTTTCGTTTAGTCGTACAACTAAAGAATCTCATCCATTACTTAATCAATTTCGTAATATAAAAGAGAAATATGTAATACATTCCAAAATTTCAACGCAATTATTTTTATGTACGGACATAAATCAGTTATTGCTAGTTGAGTGTATGGCACTTAAGCAAATAAAATAAAATCTTAGGTTGCTCGCTGATTAAGGAATTGACCATATTGAAAGAAACAGTTATGTCTGCAAAAACGGTGTTTCTAAGTCTTATGATCTAAACTTTTGGCCGGTACCTGATAATGGGTACCGTTATTTATACACGCTTTTAAAGCATAATTTGCCATGTATTGACACACTTATTAATTTTGACTAATTTTAAATTTAAATAGGAACAGGTTTGACTGCAAATTTTCCACAAATTAACACAATAAAATAAGTAGGCAATTCAGTGAACAATAATAATTTAACACGTTTTTCTTTTAATAGCTTCAGCAATAGCAATAATAACTTCAAAAACGTGATCATTAAGCATCCCTAATAGATAAATATTTTTATTACGAAATCAAGCCAATATTTATTGAATGACTTACTTTATTTAAGAGTTTATTCATTGATTTGAATAAATATTTACTTATAATTTTTAATGGAGTTCATTATTATAGATAATGAAAATCAAAATATGTACGGAATATGAAGGAGCATTAAACGTGGATGCAAATAATTTCTCTTGACTGTACAGATTCTCAACAACAGAGATTGCTATCCTTAAAAAAACGTTTAGGGCTTTTCTGTTATTAAGTAACAGGAGACACTTCACAATATATAAACGAATTCGCGATTACGAATAAAAATATTTTTTGCACCATAAATAAGTCTTTTCTGTTTACCAATGGTTTAAATATAACACACTCCTGACCAAACAGTCCATAAGCACAACATAAGATCAATAGTTTTACAATCGCGTTAAAGTTAATCGCGATTAAATATTATTCACCATTGTGCGTAACGTCCCTAACTAATTAGGTTAAACGTAGATCACTTTCTACACTCGGGTATCTCAATCGATTGTCTCAATAGTGACTCAATCGATCTTCTGAATGTTTTACACGCTTTATTAATTATGCTGTGTAGTCTCACTGGTGGCTTCAGTCGGCTTTCTGTCGCTTTCGGTGGCCCGTTCTCGAGGTTTCTTCGCGAAGCTGAAGAACTTCTCCAGGTTCAGCGTGTTCTGGTTGTACACTGTGTGGTCGGGAGTGTCGCCCCAGCTGACCGGCGTCATCCCGTCCCTCGTTTCTGGCTGCGGGTTCGGTTCCTGGACGCTGGTGTCCACGCTGACAGCCTCGTGGATCGTGTTCAGCACCGCCTCCGATTGGACGCTCGGCGTCCTCATGTCGGAGTTAGAGATGCCCTCCAACGAGGCGCACCGGTTGAGGAAGCTCAGCATTCGCTCCTTGTAAAACTCCGAGCTCGTCTCGGTGTTCGGTTTCGCTTTGTTGTTCTGATTCTTCAGGTAGAAGCCGTTGTCGCTCTGCGCCAGGAAGATCCTCTTTATCTTCTTGCTGGGGTAGTGCTCTATCAGGTCCGGCTTCGGCGGCAAGAGTTTCCCGTTTCTCGGCAGCTTGGCGGTGTTGTTTCCCTTTATCTTCGTCACGACAGATATGCAGTTGCCGCGCCTCTCGCGGTCGTCCTCCTTGTAGTTGTTCCTCATGCCCTTGTAGGATATCTTCACGCTGAGGATGGACCACAAGAGCTCTAGGAACGCCGCTATCAGTATGTTAATGGACAGCACTCGTTTAGTGAACAGATGCGAGTCCCCCTGCTTGGCGGGAGAGCCGCTACTTGCGATGACCAAGTGGGACTCGTTCCTAGCGATCACGTCGCTGTGCCTCACCACTATGAGGTCCTGGAACGGCACCTTGTCCTTGTAGAAGTCCGATATGTCGTCCTCCGAGGTGGTGACGAACCACACGGCGATCATCACGAAGGCGATTAGCGAGAACATGGTCGACAGTACAGACATCGCGAAGAGCCAGGTGATGTTGTGGTCTATGTACCATCGGACCGAGGCCATGATGGAGGCGACGCCGGCGGCGAGCGCGAACGCAGTAAGCAAGGACGGCGCTAAAACCAACATGTAGTTATTTTCATTTCTCAATATCTCCGTATCCGTGTAGTTGTCAGAGACATGGTCCTCGGAGTCTATGACCGTCAGGCTTGCGGTCGCGTTGCGGCTAGTTTCGACGTCCGAGCTCGGGTTGACGAGCGCCAAACAGGCGAGAAGAAACGACGTCGCAGCCAGCGCAATGTGGACCCACGCCAGCCCAGAGACGGTGGACGCTGAGTACCTCCTCTCCGAAGGGTACAGGTTCCTCGTGTCCGGCTTCGTTTTTACCTTTATAGTGTACACGTCCTCCATGTTGTTATTACGAAAGCATAACTTTGTTTAGAGCCGAAACTTAACAACGAACAACAACGGATGGAAGCAACTGTTCACGTACGATTACTTGCGCATTTTCCCGTTCGCAAAAACTCATTCACAGTTTTCTATCACTTTTAAACCGTTGCGTGTTAATCGGGTGAAACTTTGGCGTGTTCTCAACGGTTTTATTGATGGATTCTATTTGAAATGTACACTTGAAAACCGGCGACGCGACTCAAGCGCATGACGTTTGCGAGCGTACTGAAGTTGTGCACGCATATAGTGTTGCCAATACAATGCTAGTGTTCCCCTGAATAGTAATTGGACAAATAAAAGAAAAGTTAGCATTTTTTATTGTGTAGGACCTTTTATTCAAAGTAATTAAAAAAATAAACCAGACTTACAATAAATTTCACAGTGGACTAACGACCAGATCATTCAAATTATTTTTTTTAAAGACAATTATTTGCGGGTCACACAAACAGACAGATGTCCCGTGCGGGAATCGAACCCAAGACCACCGACACCAAAGCCAATACCTTGGCAACTGCGCCGCAGGCATCAAAAATATGTCATGCCATAATATATCGAATATAGAGACTTGACGAAATGCTATACATCCCAGTACACTGGGATGTATAGCATTTCGTCAAGTCTGGGATCTCCCAGTTTGTTTGGAATATTTTGAAACTGACAACATTGTAACTTACGCCTAGTAAGCTAGCTAGGCAGCAAGCTGCTAGTAAGATGTGTTGATATGCGTTTATAGCAACTACTCCAACGAAATATGGTCTCGCTGTTTTTGTTAGCAATAATACGGAGTTCGTCTATTTATTGTTACCAAGAAATGTTTTCAATCGTCCGTGCAGCGAAGCCGTGTCGAATTACCAGACATCTTGTTTTAATAAGTACAACGGTGGCTGTTAATTCAAATACTGATTGTTGAAGTCATTGACATGGCTTTTTAACTAAAAGCTTCATTAAGCGTCCGATTGTTCAACTGTCTGTTATTTTGATTTGATAAATGGGTAGTTGTGGGAGAATTCACGACGATTGTTTGAATACGTGTTTCTATTGTAATTTTTAAACAAAAACATGGGATATAATTGCGAATGGTTTTTTGACTTTAAATTGTTTCGCGTGTGATGGCAAATATAGTTTTATTGTTTCAAACTTGAAGTTTATTGAGCTAAATATTTATAATATGCTTAGCTTATTCGTGCCATCTTTAAAGTACCTATCTACCTAATTGAATCCTGTCAGCCTTAACGGGAACAAAACATCCCAAGTAATCTCTACCTGTGACTTTTTTATCGATTCGAGAGTCGAACACCATTATTTGCGTTTAGCCCAACTTCCTTTACAAAATATCCTTGTTTTCTCAATTACTATTTTTACTCTCGTTTTATTATTAGTTGTGAAAATTCTGATCAATTTAATACCAGTGCCTTTGACAGTAAATAAGTCCTTTGAGTAATTTTATTATTCCATTTCTAGACCTGAGGAGCATATTTTTTAACCGACTTCAAAAAAGGAGTGGTTCTCAATTCGACTGTATTTTCTTTTGTTTGTTACCTCAGAACTTTCGACTGAGTAGAGCGATTTTGATAATTCTTTTTTTTTATTTGAAACCTAGTGCTTCCCTTGTGGTCCCTTATTAATTTCATTGGTATTGGATCTTGGGCTCCGGAGATACTTCAGGGAACTCCTTAAAATCAATTATAAAAAGAATACAAAGCGAGATATTTGAATCTGGTTTTGTTTTTCGTTAATAAATATGGACTTGTTAAACCTTTCACTCGCGCATACACACCGAGTTCTCTTCTCAGGTATCTTTATGACTTCTAAGTAGGAATATAAGTCATAAACGTGACCCGACCGGAATTTTCTTTTTTTATGTGAGCTGAAGGTATACGAGCAAGCTGTTAAACTGATGTTTAGTGTTTATCACCGCTCCAAGGACGTATATGGTGCAGATGCTTTACCAACCTTTTGAAAAAATTAGGCTTCGATTACCTCGCTCACCAGACAAAACGCAAAAGTATAATACATCCAATTGGCGTTTTCCATGGGTTTGTGGTACTAACCGGCGTGGGCAGGCGCTAATCTTGCAATAGCAGAAGCTGCTGTGAGATCTCACCACGGTAGATGAGAATAGAGTTACAGAGTACTGGAATATTGGCGCTTGGTAGCCGTGATAGCTCAGTGTCCGGGCGCTCGCCTGCAACCCGAGTTCGGGCACCAATGAAATTGTTAATTTTGTGCCGAATTATCACGTGCTCAGCGGTGAAGAATTTCTTCACTGTTCAGAGAAGAAATTCTATCTATATCTTATTTTTTTTGTACTTATATAAGTACACAATAGTATTTAAGTATGTAATAAGCAGCAGCCAGGGGACTTGCAAGTGCAGAGCAACAGTCTCTTATATGTATTTGTCTACTATATCTTATAGAGTATTCTTCGACATTATATTTATAATAGGCCCTTTGCATAAGTATAGCTTTTACAAAATGTTTGAAATTGTTTACACTTAATTGTTTGTGGATGTTACCTAATCAATGTCAATAGTAGCATTCAGGTCGAGACTGGGATATCAGAAGACATACCGATATCGAATTGATACATGTTACTGGACCGCGTGGTTTGACGTTTAACGTGTCGATGTTTGGGCAAATCGAGACCGTCTGGTGTCCGGTTCGTGAAAACACAGTTCCTCCTGCATTTGTTTAACGGGCGCTTGTCAAATAACTCCTGAGCCTTCGCCCTGTGAATTCGGGTCGAGTGATCCAATCAATACTTCTATTATATTGTATACTTGTCTTTCACTAACTTTCCGGTTGGCTGGTAGAAAATGCCTTATGGCATTAAGCCCGCCGTTTGTACCAGTTAGTACAAAAAAGTGTGTAAATAAATAAATAAATAAATATATTATTATAAAGAAGAAAGATTTGTATTTTTCTATGTTCGTAACGAATAAACTCAAAAACTCCTGGACTGATTTCAGTAATTCTTTCACCATTAGAGTGCTGCATTATAGCCGAGAAACAATGGCTATATTAATTACTAGAAAAAGTTAGGGATCCCTACTAAAACTTCAATAATGTAACTCAAATGTACAAAAATAAATGTCCACCCGTGCGAAGCTGGGACATACTGCTAGTATATGATAATTGGCAATGAAATTATTTGCCGTTTAGACGCTTATTTGCATTGTATTTATGCACGCTCCTACTTGACATCGATCTGGCCGTGATACCGTTTCCCGGATAAGCTAGTCATCTGTATAACGGCAGAATCGGTATCTATAATTAAAATAGTATTTATAATTTTAGTCTTTAATTTGGTGAATGGGTAAACTAGGCCTACCGTTCCAAAGTGTGTCGCAACTGTTACTTCGTGGATGTCGACGGGTGGTGATATGCCACCACTAGCTAGAGTCAACTATAATCTGCCGGTACCTACTACGAGTACCTACTCTCATAAGCTCCCACAAGCTTTTGGTCTATTACTAAGTTGAAAACGATTTAATTTATGATTGTATATTGCCCCCAGCATTGATTTGCTTTGTCGCTAAAATCGCATATTCGTTTCTTATTGCCTTTATCCCTCTCCAGCTACCTCCGCCCACCTCGGTAAAAGGTACAGGCGTAGAAGCTTATTTCATAAAATCAGGTAAACGGGCAAGCGTTTGTGCTGCTGGTAGGTAATTGTTTGTCTGTAACAGTTGTACATGTCTGAACACATAAAGAGAATCTGTAACAGGTTGCAGAGAAGTACCTTACTGCCTCAGGCTCACTAAATAAAACATAGTAAGACACGTAGAGACAATAATTAACTCATTAAAAAATTCATCATTATCTATTCCTAAGAAGAAATCAAGTTCATAAATCTACATCATTAATTGCAAAAACCACGGTGCCTCAGGACAGCGTTACCTCACTACCAGGACGTTAAGCTTCCGTATAAACTCTTCCACTATCCTTTCCTCTATCGAGTATCGACAGTCAAAGCATTCGTTTCACAGTAAAGTTTTATACCATTCAGATGTTAGCAGCAGTTTATAAACTGTACTCATGTTTTGAGCTAAAAGCATTGGCAGAACTAAGCTCGAACCATACCAGTAACAACGACCCCTAGCGATGCAGAAACAGCCATATTTATATGACTTGTATGTCGGACGCGCCAAACGACATTTTTACCGGTACGTTATTGACGACTTGGTACAGTCGCCGGCGCGAATGTGTATGTTATGACAATCGTTACATCTTTCTCCTACCCATATCCGCCGGGTGCGGTAGGCACAGTAACTTAAATTTCTTTTCTTCCAAATAATTTTAACATGATAGTCTTATAATATTTTTAAACCTAATATTTGTATGATTTCACTTATTAACTTCTTCTAAAATATAGATGTGATAAGTTTAACAGGTATTCATGTATACAGCGTGTCGTTACAAAAAAAAGTTATCTTTTATATGTCGCGATTGTAAAGATACGCTGTCTATAATGCCATTATGTTCATTTCTCCCCATGCTTCTTATATTTTTATACCTTTAAAAACATTTAAATAAATAGCGGTGTCGACAGACGTCCTGTACACACGTCTTAAATCCGTTAACAACTTATAAATAAAAAAAAACATTTAGTAGTGAACCGAATTGTGAATATAAACCATTCTCGAATATACTTGAACACATAAAAAAAAACATCAAAATCGGTCCAGCGCTTTAGGAGAATTTTCACACGAACATAAACACATAAACACGAACAGAAAAATTATACTAGTGTTCGCACAGTGGTAGTGTGTGTAATGTATTTTTAATTGATTTAATGTATTTTTATGCATGGTTTAAAAAAATATTAGCAATCTGCACTCCTTCTCTATAAGTGTGATAAATTCATACTCCTCTGATAGTGCAGTTTTCGTAAAAAGGGGTAAAAAGTTTTTGCTTCACGTATTAATATATAGATAAAGATGTAAACGGTAAACACTATA